GGCAGATCTGGTGTGTATGCCTGTGTCCCTGAAAAATAAGTAGCAACTTCGGTCCTCCCCGCTCCGGCCCCCGCTGAAATCCGCAATCGATCCGCTCCTTTAGGCATTCGCTCGCACAGGGGAAGGGGGCAGCGCAGGACGTCAGACATTTTTGTGTATCTGTGTATTTTTGTACGAGGAAACCTTGTCCGGGGAGTTTTAATGTCTCAGAAGACCTGTTCTTCCTGTTTCCGGGCCGTCAGGATGCGGCTTCTTCTTCTGGGAGAAAGGTGGATGTGGAAAGGGCTCTCCGGACATTTTTTGGCTATGTCGGTCAGTCTGTTCGAGGCAGAGCCTGTGCTTGGCGAGGAGCGGGAGAGGAACCTAGCTGTGCCGGGGCTCCCCGGGCCTGGGCGAGACAGAGCATCCCTGGAGAGAGAGGCACCATCCGGTCCTGTCCCCTGGTACCTCGGTCCCCTGCCTGCCCTTCCCGCCTGGGTCAGGAGAGGACCGCCTCCACTCAGGGGGGAAGCCAGGCGAGTGTTAAAACGCGGCTCCTTTTCTCAGCAGAAAAAAAATAAAATCGTAATAATTTTTTTAAAAAGGAGAAAATCGCTAGCACGCACACGCTGACAGGGAAGGAAGAGAATAAAAAGGGCGGGGGGATTAGAAAGTTGAGAAAGTGTCTCTAGGCAAGTTAGACAGGTGGACCTGCCTGGGGAGCTGCTGGCTAGCTTTGGGTAATAAAAAACGGTTAATAGTTTGGGGAACAACAACCAGTCTTTCAGTTGTTTCCTACTGTTTGATCTCGTTTAATATAACTTTGAGTGAAAGGCACTTTAATTTACAGCCCCAACACTTATTTAATATCCTTCTCTCTTCCACCCCCTCCCCAAATAGAAGGACCGGGCGTAATCACATAGTCAGGTACCCGTATTTCTGCACGAGTCAGTTCCACTCTGCATTGCTGATTTTCCTTTTCAGTTCTCGAGATTGCAAATCGAGAAGGTTCAGTTCAGAGGAATTATCTACGCAGGAGATGACTTTAAAAAATGAAACCAGGGTACTCCCCAGGAAAAAAAAAGCTTAAAAAAAAAGCGAATGAAAGAAAAAAAAATCTCTCTACTGCTCCCCCTTTTCCCTGTGTATCGAAATTCTGGCTTGTATGTTTAGCTAATCTAATCTATGGAGAAGGGCTGGGGGTGGGGATTGAAGGGAGGAGTTGTAAAGAACCGAGATGCTTGTGACAGTTTAAATTCATGCCAGGTTTCAGTCTAATTTCAACTGATTCCAGCGTGTGATTTCTGTCCCACTGATATGCTAGTTAATATTTTATACCTAGCACGGACATGCTGTAGCCCCGTATCTCCGAAAGAAGCCAGAGAGCTTTTGAACGCGGCTAATTTTCCCTAGGCATGTACTGGGTTAGTACCCTCATCTTTTAATAGGGCTTCCCCCTTACAGGACAAACGCGAACAAAATGCCACTAAAAATAACCAGCAAACATCCCCCTCCGGAGGCAGGACCCGTCTCTAAGTTTTATGCAGTCGATGCCCAGCCCAGATTTGGAGATAGGGAGACCAGAAGAATAATTACGGATAGAGACAGTTTCAATTTCAGAAGTGAAAATGAACACTTCGGCTTGGGTGCTTGTGCTACATCCCCGCCTTACTTCAGCACAGATACAGTTCAGGACATTTTGTTACACTCAATCAACTGAAGATTTGCATTTAGTCTTTTGAATTTGGGAATGCCTCTAATTACACAGGATAATATATGTGTGTATGAGTGCATATATATAAATATATATATAAAAGTACGAATGTATGTGGTGATGGAAAATGAATTTAATTCCACTTCATCTCCAGATGTGTCTTCCCCCTCCTCCCCCCCAAGCCTCGCAATCCTTAGAAGGTGAAGCTGGACAAAGGAGACAGCCAGGAGCAGGCTCGTCCCGGGACTCTGCTGGTGTCCGCGCTAGATGCGCACCCCGGAGGTGCCCCGGGCAGGCAGGCGATCCCGGGGAACCGGTTCAGTCTCCAGAGGTGTCCCGTGCCCCAGTAGCTCTCCTTTTTTCGTTAGCCAGATTTAAAATAGAGCCGGTGCTTTAGGCCGCCTGGCATAAAAATATATAATAAACAAAATAAAGCCAAAGAAAGAAAACAATCCCCTCGCTTCCCGCACAGGCATAGACAAAAAAGGGCAACCGGCTTTTCCCCGCTATCTCCCCAGCCCTCCTCCCCTGCGCCCGGCATAAGCGTGCACAGGCGGCTGCCTGTGGCCGCAAGGCCTCCCCGAAACCTGCTGGTCCTCTGGGCGGGCGGGGG